CCTTTTTTATTTAAAAAATTCTTTCCTTTTACATACCAACCCCTGTTCCCCCTCCCTCCTCTTCTCCCGCTCCCCCCCCACCTTCCCCCATTCTACTCTCATGCCCTCCTCATAGAAGGTAAGGCCTCCTTTGAGTAGTTAACACAGGCTAGCATACCAAGTTGGGGACATACCTAGCCCTTCCTCTTTGCATCAAGGCTGAATAAGGCATCTCACCATTGAAATGGGCTCTAAAAATCCAGTTTGTGTACCTGGGATTAGTCCTGGTCCCATTGCCAGGGAACCCACAAACACATCAAGCCATGCAACTTTCACCCACATTCAGAAAGCCTAGTTTGGTCCCATGCAGGCTCCCGGGCTATTACTCCAGAGTCCAGAACTTTCTTAGACAAAAGAGGGAGATGTAGTGGATAGCTGATCTGTCTATGATCTTGAAGCACTGCCCCTGGAGATGTAGCAGGTAACTGTCCTACCTGTGGACTTGAAATACCTGCCCCTAGGCATGGCTCAGAGCTACTCTTAAGACCCTAGACACAGAAGCTGCTCTCTTCTCTCTCATGGGTTTAGATGCTGAGACAGCCCAGGCAGAAGAATAGCATGGGATTGTAACTCAGCCTTTCAGGCCCCTACAATAAATCTCCCATGCTGTAATGAGTTTTCCTCCCTAATGAATTTCTTTACCCTTTAAGCAGACTCTGTGGATTTCTTGCATTATCCCACAGAAGGTGGAATGGCAAGGGTGATCATCATGATTCCTAAATGTCAAATAAAAAGGTCAAATGCTATATCTTAAAGACAGGCACATTTCAAATGAGGGATAGAAGGGGGCGGATTTTTCTTTTTCAAAAATACCTAGAAGTATTTTCAAGCATTGATTGGAAAGAAATAAAAATTCTATATTCAACTATACATACATACCATGTGTAAGACAAAATTCTAGACATTTGAAAGGCAATCAAGAAATTTGGTTATCCTTGTTTTTCCCAAAGTGAGATAAAGAGAGACAAGAAACCCAGCACTTTCCTGTCCTCTGAAATATTGGTAACTTAGGACATATATGTAAGGAAGTTTGTGATGGTTCATTGAAGCCTCCCTGGCTTCCATTTCCAGCTCTGCTATTCTTGATCAAGAAGAATTTACTTTCTCAGCCTCACTTTCCCTGTATTCAGATGGACTCTACTAGTGACTTCATGAAATTGCTGTGAAAGTTAGCAGTCTACATGTGTAATATCTGACACAAGGTTTTCACAATAAAGCTATTAAAAATGCAATAGAGGACAGGAAGCTGGGTCATCATGGAAATCATACTACAAATGAATATTTGTTCTTTCTGTTTTAATGCGAGCACTAAAAATCTTGCTGGTCAAGATTCTGAAATAAAAGCAAACTATTTCCTTACACAGACTTCAACTCCAATATAAGTCAAAATTCAAACAAATGTTTGTGAACATACTTTCTATAAGTTTACGAAGCTTATAGTTCATCTGGAATTACCATAAGCTTTATCAGCAGCAGCATGCAGACAGAGATTTACCTCAGAGTTACACAGCAGATACTTCCTCAGCTGTTTCTGAAGGGTGGAACAATCGATTCTTATGTAATTGTCCCTTGAGAGATTAAGGTAATTTAGGTTCCACACCCTTTGTTTCTTGAGTCATCTGTCTCATGGTGCTTCCCAGTCTCTCTGTTTAAGATGGTTTCAGAGAACTAAAGGCAAAGTTAGCTCCAAGGACATTCCCATGGGAGGGGAGGCTCATCCAAACTGAAGCATGTGCTGACTCCAAACTTCATTTTTTGTTTTGTTTCCTTTTCTATTTTAGAAATTTTACTGTATTCTTTTTTTCTTTTACTGAAAATTGATTCTTTTCTCATGCAATAGATACTGATTATTCCACTCCCTCTACTCTCCTTAGTTCCTTCCTACCTCTCCTCCCCTCCAGATTCACTCTCTTCCTGTCTCTCATTAGAAAAGAACAGGCTTGTAAGTGATAATAACCAACCATGACAAAATAAAGGACGAAGCAAAACTATCATCCCAAAGTTGGACACAGCAACCGAACAAGAGGAAGAGTCCCAAGAGTCAGAGATCTGACTCTTTTTCACTCATTCCCACAGTCAGGAGTCCCATAAAAATATTAAATTGAAAGCTATAATATATATGCAGAGGACCTGATGCAGACCCATGCAGGCCCTATGCTTACTTTGAGCTCGTATGTACCTTGCTTGGTAGATTCAGGGGGCCTTGTTTTCCTAGTGTCCTCCATCCCTTCTGGCTCTTACAATTTTTCTGCCTCCTCTTCCATGGGATTTCATGAACTCTGAGGGTATGAATTTTATGGAGACCTCTGATTTAGACTCTCTCCACATAATGTCTGGCTGTGGGTCTCTGCATCTGCTCTGATCTGTTGCCAGAGGAAACCTTTCTGATAATGACTGGGTAAGGCACTGGAGTCCTCACCTCTATGTTCTGGTCTCTTTGTTGTGGAAAGGTCTTCTTCAGGCTACTGAAAGAGAAACATGGACACCAACCCTGCCACAAAACCTTTGTTTGACCTATAATCTATCCCACCTGCAAAATATGCTAGGACAATGATGGCACAGAACGTGTAGTAGGAGCCAACAAATGTCTGATTTGATCTAAGGCCCACTCCATGAGAAGGAACTTCTCATGGCACTGTTTGTGTAACCATGAACCAGAGACTAGATAGACTAGAGATCTAGGGTAAACTCAAACACTACTGATGTAAAAATAAAACCAATAAAATGATTCCTAATGCTATTCTGCTATACCCCACCTTTAGTTTTTAACATTGAGGCTTTCTTTGTTGACTTTCAATTTACTCCTTGTTTTTAATTACCTCTTACTCCACACCAGATTTCACCTCTAGAAATAAAGTTTGCCTCTAGTTATTCTGTAGAAGACTGACCCCATTGGAGACTTTGGGTTCACCCTGGCTTCCACTCTATCTCTTACTATTCAGCAGTAACTAACAGTTACTGAGCTTACAAACCCCAAATACTGTGGCCCGTGGTAGGATATAACTGGCACAACAACCCCCTGAGGTGACAAGTGAATCCACTGATACTCAAAGAGTTGTAAGTGTCAAAATTCCAGTTTTCTCCCAACTGTTGGACTAAGAAAGCCAGTTTTCACCAGTACAACAAAATTAAGAAGATGAAGTAGAATTGATTTAAAAGGCAAAGCTATGTCTTTTTATCTCTTTATTGCATTATTCTTGGGAAATTTCCTTCCTACTATGTGTATTTAAATACACTATCATTAAAAGATATGTTTAATCAGGAACATATTTTTAATTTATAATGTATCTAGTCAATAAAAATGCAAGTTGGCAAATCTGCATCCACCTCCATCTTCTAAAGTGTCCTTGATCCCATGCACAGCACATAATATACAAAGAGTGTATTGCAACAAGGAGAAGAGTGCCATTTATGAATCTGTTATCTGGACATAATTCAAGCACTGCGGGGCAACCCTGCCTTGAAACCTAAACTCAAGAAACCAATGATCACCTTAGAAAATTCCTTTCTCACCTCAGAATGTCTCAAAGCAAATAGAAAAAAAAAGTGGAAGCCAGACTAGAATCTGCCTAAATGTAACAGAGTCCCAGTTCTGTTAAGATTTTAAAATATGAAACATACCCAGGAGTTTGTGTGCAATCAATATTTATAAATATCATAAATATTTATAAAACCCTGAAGTAGGCCTGACCCCTCCAGAGCCTAAAGCATCAGAAACAACAGCATGAAAAATATCTATTCTGAAAGAATCCACAGATTAACCTATTAATTAGGAACATTTTAATCATATCTTATATATCCTCATTTCATCTTCAAATAGCCTTGTGAGATAGGCACAGTTATTCCCATTTCTTTGGGCAAATGACAACATGATGACTACCCAAACAAGGAGCTGCCCGGTGATCTTCCCAGGGCAGTGTCCATGGCCATGTCTCTCCTGGAGGAAAGGAGACAGTGAGTCAGATTGTTCGAACTGATATGCCTACTGTAATATGAAATAGTATATTAATACAAATGGGTTGGCCTACACTGCAGATTATGAAGTCTTAAGGAATAAGTCACATGCCTTATTCATCTGCTGTTGGAGGGCTCTAATCCAGTGATTGTCAACCCTTTGGGGGCAGAACGACACTTTCACAAGGGTTGAATATCAGATATCCTGAACATCACATATTTACACTATGATTCATAATAGTAGTATAATTACAGCTATGAAGTAGCAATGGAAATAATTTCATGATTAGGGGTCAGCACAACATGAGGAACGGTACCCAAGGGTCACAGCACCAAGAAGGTTGAGAACCACTGCTGCCCTTGCTCCCTTCCTTGTCCACGTCATCATCTGTAATAATGTGAAGTAACATCTTGAAGGAAGCTATTGCTCTAATCCTCAACCCCACCCCACCCCACCTGTCTCCTCTTTCATCCTTCACACTCAATGTGGTCTCTCCTAAGCACACCCTTGGTCAGGGCCCCTAGTTAAGATGGATTGCTGTGATAGTACCAAGTTTGGGAGCTTGGAAGGCCTCGCAGTATGACAGATCTTTAGTGATTAATCTTAAGAGCATCCGGTTGTGGGCTGGGCATTGTGTTGCAGATGCTTAGTCCCAGCACTCAGGAAGCAGTGGTAGGTGGATTTCTAGGCGTTCAAGCCAGCTTGATCTACACAGGTCTACAAGTTCCAAGCCAGCCGGAGATACAAAGTAAGATCCTCTCTCAAGAACACAAACAAATAAAAACCCCAAAGTATATTGACTGGTAGAAAAATATAAAGTAATTCTACACCATAGGTCAGATATTCTTATTATTCTACCAAACTACTTCAAAAATTCAACAGTTCTGTGAAACAAACTCCAAAACGAAAAATATTAAGAACACCCTGGTAGGTTTCAGGTTGATTCTTAGGACTAGGCTTCTATGATGAGATTCATGGACAAGCTAAGAGATTCAAAAAGACAGCCATGAACACTGAAAGTACACATTTCCAAGTAACTGAGAGACATTCTTTTATTCCTATTCTCAGGCCAAGATCAGTGATACCACAGTCAAGATTCTTCAGTCCGTTTGTAGTAGCCTTCATTGTCATAGCAACAGTCCTGCTCCTGGCTATGACTGTTGGTCTACTCATTCACTTTTTAGCTTTTGGTAAGTACCTTTCAGACTAAATAATTAAGTATATTCTCAGATGAAAAATGTAGTCTCTCCTCTTATGGCTATTATCTATTTCTGAACATGAGGTAATGTTTAGAATTCTTCTCTAAGTATATATTCATATATATCCATATTTCTTCTCAATGAGTATTGTAATTTGTTTTTTGATTTGAATTTTTTTAGGGTTGAGCGCAGTAATGCTTTGGCTTTTTAAAATATATAAAGTATCCTGGTACTTGACCAGTGGAAACAGGAGAACCAGGAGTTCGAAGTAATCTGTGGCTGTATAGAGAATACAAGGCCATCCTGGATTGTATAAAACACTCCCTCAAAAACTCCAAACTAAGCAATAAATATATGTTAGAAGGCCCTGCTGGTCAGAGGCTGCAGTCTACCTGGCAGATCTCCTAGGCTCAGCAACAAGGAGGATTCCCTCTCTACCACCTGCCCCCCATCCCCTCCCTGGTGGAGGATTTCCTGCTCACTACCTGACCTTATTTGGAGACTATCTCTAGGCCTGGATACCTTACTTCTCTCTAGTGTGACCCTTGACACAGTTCTTTGCAGGAGCTTCCCTCCTGCTGTCGATAAGGTCAGAAGTCATGTTAGGAGCTTTGCTATAGGACTCTGCTGTCATGTACCAAACCTCACAATAGGAGCATGCTGTTTAATGCAGATTAGGTGATGCCTAGCCGCTGTCCCCAGCCTTTATATCTCCCTTTACTCTGGAGTAAACCTGAGCTCTAAGACTGAAGCAGTCTCTGGGAAGGCTATTTCCATCTTACCACAGGCTGGGCAAGGCCCCCCACTTCCCACCTCTGCCCCATGCGTGGGGAAAGAAGGGACCCTCAAATAAAGCCTACCTTTTTAATATAACAGACATTGTTCCACAGATGAGAACTACTCTAGACTGAAAAATAAAATCACTTACTACTTCCTTCCTGTTAACATTTAACAGCTCTGTTTTTGTGAACACCACAACTGCCTTTTTCAATTAGTAACCTGATAAAACCATGAAAGTAAGATCTTGCAAACAACCTTGAGTCTCGCCTCGCGAAACTCAGAGGTGCCTGAGTGTTTGCTAACTCATGCTGTCTCCTAAAAACAATCTTGCAAGCTAAGCAGCTATTATGATCTAGTAGATACTAGATTAGGAGTGTTTCATACAATCCAGGATTTCTTTAAAATTTCTTTAAAATTCTGGTAAATACTATTTCAGAAGTTTTAATACACAAAATGAATCATATGTATGATAATTGTATAATATAAATAATATAATGGTTAATATTATTTCAGAAGTTTTAATAACAAAGCATATTATTAGATAAAATATAATATTTCCCTTAAAATACACTTTGACTTTATTTTAGGAATAATTATGCTAACTCTCACATATGCTGAGTGAATAGATATGTATGAATATGGACAGAGAAGGAATAAAACACAAATTATGGTATGTCTTTTTATAAAAAGGCAAAAATACTTGAAAATAACATTACTAGTAATGAGGAGTAAGAATTTTAGCTGATCAAATGTAAAGGCTATAACTAAATTGAGTTTTTCTCAACATCTTGCTGTCAAAGTACATAAAGTCAACGTTCAAATAAATTATAGATGGAAGAAAAAGAATATCATTGAGCTTCATATTAAATTAATGAATGTCAAAAGTAATGACTTCACAGTGTCACACAAATATGAAGAAGAGGTACCCAGGTAATTGTATTCAAGTCATACGCTAGTGATCACTTATGGAATAGAAATGACTTGCCTCACCCCCGTTTAAAGCAATTAGTTTAGCACTAGAGTTGTTAGCTCTTTCTTACTACAGTTATTTCTCTGTGAGTTGTGTATATGAGTGATCAGAAGAAAGAAGGGATTTTCCCCAAGAGGGGTTGCTAATTTGTGTCCATATTCATAACTTTCTTAGTTACATATGTGTATTTTAAGGATTCTTGACCTCTTCACACTGAATATTTATTCCAGAAAACCCTTCTGATGGAAAATAGACAGCCAGACTAGACGTGTTGTGAGAATATTTCTCCTATTGCAGGAAAATTGTCAAATCACTAATTCCTCTATAAAAACTATTATCTGAGGGAATGTGGAAGGTGTTCAGTGTATAAGGTGCCAGCTGCCCAAGCACACATATAAACTCCATGCATGATTCATGTGTATGTAACTGGATGGGCACAGAGGGGAAGATCCTGGGGTTTGCCAGCCAGCTGGAGTGATGAATTCCAGGTTCAGTAAGAGACCCTGTCTCAAAAAACGAAGGTGAAGAATAATAAAAGAAGATATTTAGCATTCACACACGCACATGCACGCACACACACACACACACACATACACACACACACACACACACACACACACACAAGCACATGCACATACACCACAAGCTCATACACACAGATACCACACACACAAAATAACTAATTTTTTAAAAAGAATATTTGAAAATTTTAAAGTATTCCATTACTTAAATTGTTTTTAACCAATGAACAATCACATACTATAGATATTAATGTTTACTGAGTGAGTAAATAAAAATAGTATTTAGATGTGCTACTAATAAAAATCATAATACTTTTGTACAACTTTGAAAGAACCAATTAATGTTAGTCCAACTTCTTTTACCTTAACAATCTTAGCTTTGTCCATCTTTTGAAAACTCAAAAGAAAATAATCTCACTACATTTATGTTGGATATGGATTTTTCTTTCTTTTAAGGAATACTATTTTAATTGTATAACTTCTTATAATGCTGTACAAAATAAAAATCAATCTGCTTAGTAGCACTAGAGTAATCATGTCTTTCTTTCTTCTCCAGACAAGAGAACTTACTTTTACCATAGCAGCTTTCAAATCCTAAATGTTGAATACACCGAGGCTTTAAATTCACCAGCAACACAGGAATACAGGCATTTGAGTGAAAGAATTGAGTCTATGGTAGGTTAATACTTGTCTTTGTTTTTTTATTGCTGCATAAAATGAAAACAGTAAGAAGTCTAATGTGATACTAATATTTTCATGTAATAATGTAGCTGGATATTCTGTATCGTTTCTTCCCTTGAGAAGTGAGTTTCTGGGCTTTCTCTGAGGTGATTGAATTTGCCAGTTCTTGTTCACATTTTCTCCTGCCATAATTGTAATAAAGTAGGAAGGCCATAAATAACTATGAATTTTATTTGATTATGACTTCAAAGACTGGAAGTCTGTTGTTTGTATGGTAAAGTACTGAGACTACCCTTTTATATTTCTTTCACTCTCTCTTTTTTCTTTCATTATTCAAGTAAGCACATAAAGCAGTAGGTGTTAAAGATACATTCACAGCCAGGCAGTGGTGGCGCACGCCATTAATCCCGGATTTTGAGAAGCAGAGGCAGGCGGATCTCTGTGAGTTCATGGCCAGCCTGGTCTACAGAGTGAGTTACAGGACAGCCAGGGCTGTTATACAGAGAAACCTTACCTTGAAAAACGAGAGAGAGAGAGAGAGAGAGAGAGAGAGAGAGAGAGAGAGAGAGAGAGAGAGAGAGAAAGGATATGGTCACCATACAAGGAATAAGATAGTTTGGATGCCAAGTTGGTATGATGATAAGCCTAATAGTTTGAATGGAAGTATTCAAAGCAAGCTTCACCTCACCCATGAAGATGTCTCTGTCTACTTGCCCTGTCCTGACAAGCAGACCCCTGGCACTCATGCATCAGCAGAGAGCTTGACTAGCTTTCAGTCCAGGATTAGAGTTGACCAGCCGAAGGTTGCTCACTTACCCTCTCCTTTAAAAAAAAAAAAGACCTAAATTTATAAATTAATCCAAAGCTTGTGAAACTTTAACATATAACACACCCATCTGATAGTCTCACTAAACCTCAGATTTCTGGGCCCCTGACTCAACTTCTGATTCAATAAATCTTTGTGGCCCCTCCCCCCCCAAGTCACATTTTTAATTAGTTTCAAAGTAGTACTGACACTTTGTCTACATAGCACACTCTGAGAGGCAGAAGTTGATCTTCAATAAGCACTACCATTGCTCTAGAACTGAATAAGCAACTTGTCAAACAACTTAGAGGCAAACTTCATTGGGATCCAAATTATAGAAGTTTGAGCAGAATTTAAAATGAAAGCAAGCTGTGATTCTCCCTGAAGAGCTTCAGTCTCGGTCTATCAGGTCTTCTCTGTTAAACTCCCAATCTCCATGGATTCCTGTGACCATGCAGTTTCTTAAATTTTTTCTAGTTGTGACTCCTTTTGTCCTAAGAAATGTTTTTCTGTTTATTTGTTTGGTGTGTGTGTGTGTGTGTGTGTGTGTGTGTGTTGTTTGTTTTAATGAGACTAGTTCTCACCATGTAACTCTGGCTGGTTTGAAACTCACTATGTAGACCAGACTGACCTTGAACTCACAGAGACCTGCCTGCCTCTGGCTCTGCCTCTGAGTACCGGGATTGAAGGACATGAGCCACCACACCAGGCTTTCATAAGAAAGGTTTATATATTCCCCAGTGTATAGAATGTAAATTAGAGACAAAAATCAAACATTTACTGACAATAAGTCATAAATTTCAAATAATCACACAAAGTAATAGGTGTTAAAAAATATGATCACCATGAAAGAAATGATTAATTTAGATGTCACCTTGGTGATTGTTCTTTTATATATCTTTTCCCATTTATTAAAGATAAAAGCATTTTATATGCTAATGAGGTAGACTTTATTGTTCATTTTTACATAAAGATTTAATCTTGGCTGAATATCTGATACTGCAAAATTCTAAGTATCTGCAAAGTCTTTCAGTTAACTAGTAGTTTGATTTGATAATTATCAATAATAACACATTCCATATAAGTAGGAAGTACAAAATGCTAAAGCATGTTTAGGGCCTATCTTAGTTAGGGTTACTATTGGTGTGATGAAACACCATGACCAAAAACAACTTGGGGAGGAAAGGGTATATATAATTCACTTGCAGTTCCATATAACAGTTCATCATCAAAAGCAGTGAGGACAGGAACTCAAGCAGGGGAGGAACCTGAAGGCAGGAGCTGATGCAGAGACCATGGAGGGGTGCTGCTTATTGGCTTGCTCCTCATGGCCTGACCAACCTGGTTTCTTATAGGACCCAGGTCCACCAGCCCAGTAGTGACACATTGTGACATTGGACTTGGCCCTCCCCTATCAATCACCAATTAAGAAAACACCCTACAGGCTTGCCTGCAGCCTGATCTTATGGAATCATTTACTTAACTGAGGCTCCCTCTTCTCGGATGACTGTATCCTGTGTCAAGTTGACATAAAACTAGCCGGTACAGAGCTAGTTTAAAAATGATTGGAAATTCTCCCAATCTCAAGCCAAGATTTATTTGACTTACATTTTTAAAATGAACTTCATGCTAGCAATTCAAACAGCAATTTTTAAAATCAAACATTCTAAGATATACAATGCAAAGATGCATTGTTTTGGTACTCAAATATTCAGGACCAACAGTGGGAAATTATTAAATGTCTTTGTTTCCTATGATTAAATAATACCTATACTAAAAATGCTATCATGCATGAAACAATAGTCTAAACCTAATCCAAGATGTCTCTAGCAGCAGTGCATAACCCAAAGGATGAAGGGTCAAATACTGCTTACAACTCACCTTGAGCACACTGATACTCCCTTACTCACAGCTTTCTCCATTCGCTCTGTTCTTAAAAATTAAATAGAGGCTGGGCAGTGGTGGCGCACGCCTTTAATCCCAGCACTTGGGAGGCAGAGGCAGGCAGATCTCCGTGAGTTCGAGGCCAGCCTGGTCTCCAAAGAGAGTCCCAGGAAAGGCGCAAAGCTACACAGAGAAACCCTGTCTCAAAAAACCAAAAAAAAAAAAAAAATTAAATAGAGAATTTAGTTACATCATTTGTACTAAGAAATCATCTGCTGGGCGCTCAACCCATGAGCATCCTAAAGTTCTTGGAGCTATCAAAGATTCAAACCTGGAAAGAGGTAGTCATAAACAGTTACTCATGAGAAGTCCTCGTATCCACACCAAAAAGCCATGTAGTATTTCAGTGCTTAGCTGAATATTGAAAGGATCAAGCTTCACTGTGGGGATCAGGACTCAGCTTCTTATTGACACAGCAGATGTCTAATGGCATCACTCAGTTCAAGGTGGATGGGGTCAGGTATGTGAGGTCAGCTCAACCTTAATCTAGCACATGTAAAACTGAGAGAAGCTAACTGTAAAAAAAAATGGCATAAGAAATAGTATATACTCAGCAATACAAAAGAGCATAAGAGAAAAAAGAAATATATCTTTTCAAAATATTTAATGTCATTAGAATACAATCATACATATAGACACATAGTATTAAACCTTGTTATCCTTAAAATTATTCTCAATCATTTTCTAAAACATAAATCACAAAGTGTGTATATAACCTTTCCCATTAAAATGAAGGTAATTTTTGTGCTTTTATTAAGATTCTACACAGTATGTAAAAACATCAGGACACATATAAAATGTAAAGAGGAGAAACTACATAAAGCCTAATGGTGGTACACATCTAGGTCTGAGATGCCTTCCTATGCCAACTGCATCCATCACACAGACACAAACACACATGCCTTTCTTACAGTGCAGTCAAATATATGCTACTGCCTTCTCTTCTTCAAAAAATATGTCTTCATTTAATTGTATGTGTTTACATATTAATGGATTAAGAAGTACACCATTTAAAATACCTAATAAGCATTATAGTATGTAGGTACATAATATTTTATTTATATACTCCTTTATAAGCATATTTTTTAAATTCTTTCAGGAAGTTTTGTTTGATTTTGTGGGGTTTTGGTTTGTGTGGGGAACTTTTGGGTACAATTGATGTATATTGTTGTCACCTTTATCATATGCTAAATTCTCCCTGTTCTTTCTTCTGTCTTCTGCTCTCTTCCACAAGACCAGTCTTTGCTGACATCGTTACCAAGTTATATTTAAAGGACTATATCTTCATAATATATAGTTAACGTTTAAATTTTTCCATGAAATTTAATGTGTGATTTTCATAATTAATATATTCATGCATCCTTCTGTAGAAGAATAAATGCTTACGGGAAGAGCCAGCATTCAAACCAGGCATCATGACTCTGAATAGAAGAGCTGCCATTTCTCAGTGGTAATAAGATAAGATAAATAGGTCTCTGCAAGCCACAACTATTATCCCCTTTATCTCCCCTCTCCCCCAGATCCACTCCCCTAATCTTTGAATTTCAAGAAAGTGACAGAATATGATAATGAATAGTAAAGAAGACCACAAAACATCATCTCTGCTATGTGTCTCACAGATAGCAAGACACTCCTCTACTAGGAAAGAGCCAGGGTTGTTAGGTCAAGAAATTATAAACAAATGCTATATGTAATGACTGTAGATTAGGCAAGAATCAAAAAAACAACAGGGAAAATACTGTTCTTTGCTTCTTTTCACTCTCCTTTCAGATTTTTCAACACTAATCAGACTTAATCATCTAATTAGTCACTAATTAGCCTTAATCTAATTTCACCCATTTAAAGCACAGTCATTGGGGACCACACACGTATTTATCGAGTTGTATGAAAGGATTTCACTAATGTTGACTTGAGTCTACCCCAACTACCTCATTCACAAATAGTAAATCATATATCATAAGGCTTCGTGGAGTAAAACATTTGATGTAGTTAGAGTGACTTTTATTGAGGGCATGCCCTGTCCAGATCATTTCTGATTAATAGCTATGAAATAGGAACCACATCGGAAGGTTACACTATCTGCCTATGTTGGTCCTATGCTGTAACAAAACCAACCAGACCTCACCTGGTAGATTTCTACTTCTCATCACATAAGCCCCATGTTACAGAGTCGTTAAAATGGAAAGGAGAGACGGCAATTGCAGAGAGATTATTTTCCCATTGTCTTTCCACAGATTACTGATGCATTCCGACAATCAAATTTAAAAAGTGAGTTTATCAGAACACATGTTGTCAAACTGAGGTAAGTGAAAGCATATCAGAAGCCCTATTTGCAAAGATGCAACATAGTATGTTTGACTTCTGTTTGCACTATGGATATTAAATGGCACGTTCATATAGTTATTATAATAAGATGAAAATAAAAATAGTAAGAAAACGGGCCAGCTTAAAAGACAAAGTAAAATGCTGTGTTTATTTTGCTGTTTACATAAACAACCATATCACTGCATTCTTAATGGGAGAAGGAAGAAAAGATACAAGAAAAGCTGGTGTGAGGGGCCAGTAACAGGGCCAGGCTACTGGGTAAATCCCCTGGATATCATAAAGAAGTCTCTATAAAATGTGCCTCCTCAAGTTGCACAATACTTGGGATGTGTTCATCCAGGATCAGCACACCATGCCACCACCAGAAGTAAGCATTTGTCTTCATTTGTCCAGAATGTCATAATAAAAGGATGATATTGTAGCAAAACCCATGACGAGTCTGTGGTGGACTAAATGCATGAGTCGCAGCACGCAGGCTTTGGGAATCTGCTACGTCATGTGATATGATAAAAGAGGCTCTTCCAACGAAAACAGTCACACTGAGCAATGTTCCCAGAAATGTCCTAAATGCCCACATTGCTCAACTCTTTACAAGATAATGTGAAAATTCTCTATTATGCAAAAAGGGTGCATGAATTCTTTCTCAGGTATTAATTAACATCACAAAACAGGCAGAATTATAGTTAAATTGAGCTTTGATGAGGAATTAGAGGCTGAAAAAGAAATGACGGGAAGAGTACAAAACACACTTCTATCTGTTCAATGCACATTCTTTTGGGTGCTTTGTTGTGTCTGTACTAGCTTGTAATGTTCAGTTTCAAGTCAACACTGGAGGAGTAGATGGGAAAAGCCATCACACTTTTGTTCCTTTCGTTAACTTCCCACTTACCATCAATCCATAGTCTGTCTTCTGGCCACACTCCAAAATACAAGGTGTTCTTGCCATTTTCATCAACAGCATCCAAACCACAAAATCTAAGAAAATCACTTTAGTTCTGCTCTTGGACCTCTGTGCACTACTTGGCGTTGTTCACTTGTCCTTGAAATATCGTTCCCTGACATTTAGGTCTCTTCACAGCCATGGTTTTCCTGTTACCTATCTAGATATCCTCTCTATTTCATTTACTAGTATTGTCTTCACATGTTGCACATGAATGTGCCCTGTAAGTCACAAATCTCAGTTCACATTCTTGCCTTTCAGTGGCTTCATGGTCTTTGTTGATTATTCTTGAAGTTGCATCTCTGACATGGTGATCTTTCATCCCCAGATATGAATAAACACAGTCATATTTTTTAGATAACTTAAAATTAATATAGAGAGGACTGTACCTGTCTAACCTCCTCAGTTGAGTGTATTAGTCTATGAGCATTATTTTTCCCAGTGTTTGGTATTGCCATCAACTAGTTGCTTATGAAAGAAATCTTGGAGTCATTTCAATTCTTGACTCTCTCACAAACCCACATACCCTGTTCCCTAGTTTTTGCAGTTAAATTACTGAAATACCTCCCAGCTCCATAACATTCAATGTAATGTAACTGTCCTTCTCTTTCCTTACCACTGGTCTTGCCCCACTAAACATATCAAACATAAATATTGTTTTAAGCAAAGATAGCATACTATTCCCTTAATTAAAACCATTCTGATGGCAATACTTTCATATTATTATGTGTGATATGTTTAATGTATTATATTTACATTTATTTACTTGTAAATAAATATGTATTTATAATATATAAAGGTAATATTAAAGTATAATAGATATATATGATATATCTATAAATGGATCCTGATACATACACATATAAACTATATATACAGCATAGTTTTCTGCATGACTGAGTTTTCTTCAATTTTTTTCTTTTACTCATTTAAGGGCTTTCTATTCTAGTTATTTTATTTTGCTGAATAGCAATAAAATATGAACAAGAACTGGCATAATTCCCTATCTTTCTTCCAAATGATACAGGAATTTGGTAGTCTTGTTTTATTATTATCAGTGATAATAATAAGTTGTGTTGAAACACCATCACCAAAAGCAACCTGGGTATGAAAGCAGTTATTTGGCTTATGCTTCCACATCACTGTTAATCACTGAGGGAAGTCAGAACAAGAACTCAAACTGAGAACGAACCTGGAGGCAGGAGCTGATGCAGAGACCATGAAGGGGTGCTGCTTACTGGCTTGCTCCTCATGGCTTGCTCAGCCTGCTTTCTTTTAGAACCCAGGACTCTCAGCCAGAGGTGTTACCACACACAATGGGCTGCACCCTCCCACATCAATCACTAATTTACAAAATATCCTATAGGCTTGCCTACAGTCTGATCTTATGGAAGCATTTCCTTTTCTTTTTGTTTTTTATAGTTTTTAAAGATTTCTTTGTTTGTTTGTTGGTTTATTTAATGTTTATTTATTTAAGGTGTTTTGCCTGTATGTATGTCTGTGTGAAGGTGTCAGATCCCCTGGAGTTGGAGTTACAGACAATTGTGAGCAGTCTTGTGGGTGCTGGGAATTGAACCTGGATCCTCTGAAAGAGCAACCCATTCTCTTAACCACTGAGCTGTCTCTCCAGCCCCCTGGAAGCATTTTCTTAATCGAGATTCCCTTCTCTCAGATGACTATAGCTTGTGACAAGTTGACATAAAACTAGATGGTACACAAGCCAACACCAGATGGCAGAAGTGGCTTATGATGTTAATTATTTGTAAGTGAGGGAGCAATGAAACCACCAAACTGGATCACTCCATGGGTAGAAAGAAAGTTTTCTTGGGAGAAGATCAAACTGCTGTCTGGGGGACAGAGAACATCAACTTGTCAGGAAAGCAATCCAATTTGATATGATAGTCAGTGGAGTCTTTGAGATGGTATAAGTTGTTTGAGAACTAGATGCCTCTGCCAAAGGTGGTTGACCTTTGGGGTGGATAAAGGAGGCAGTAGTTTTCATGATAAACAGAAACATAACTTACAAAGTTCCTTAGAATGCTGAATTTAGCCTTCTGTTTATCCAATCACAGTCCTTCTGTTTACCCAGCCAGAGACCTTCTGTTTAGGACACTGCCATCAGAACTGTTGTTTTGGAGGCTCATTTTGGACCTAACATTATTGATATAAAAAAAGTAGAATTCATGTAGGTTTTGATATCAAGTTAATTGTGAGAAATGAGCCTTTCTGGTCAATCAAAACAGAAATAAAATCTTAATATATGACTGTAAATTTGTTGTTGTGGTCAGATGAATGGGTCTATGTAACAGAAAATTGATGTTTTAACTCACATAAATTTGGAAGCTCATCAATTTTTAAGTTTGTTTAATACAATAAATATTTTTTCTCAACATGGTAAAGCCTAATAATGGCTAATGTTTATTATAGTACACTTAGTGTTTTCCATGCATTCTTTCCAAAAGTTCTATATCAATTTATGCATATAATCTTCACAAAAAAACATTTAAAACAGTAAAATTTCTGGACATAGTGTATTAAGAAACTTACATAGTTTTTGAAAAGTCACACGGTGATAGCATTCTTATTTCAAAATGCTATACTGTATGGTGATTACAAAGAGCTGTGTTAGAACCAAATTTGGGAGATAGCATTGTGAGATATCATCAAGTGTGCACTGTTATGTGAATATATTCCCAAATAAATTCTTTTAAGGTAGTTTAATCAAGAACAGCACATAAATAGTAGAGAAGTATCAAAAGTGTCTATTTCTCATGACTTACAGGAATGAAGGTAATGGTGTAATCGCAGATGCTGTCATGAAATTTCGATCTAGTAAACGTAGCAATAGAAGATCCATGAAAAGCAGAATTCAATCTGTGCTACGAGCACTGAGCAACTCTGGAAACTTGGAAATAACCCCTTCAAATGAGATAACATGCAAGTATCATTTCTATGCCTTTTCATTTTAATATGTCTTTCAAGTTTACTCATTCAAATTCACATATTAAAGGAGACTCTCACCTCATTATTCATAATTGAACTACCAAAATTACACTACTATCAGTTCTAAATATAATATATAGTTCTCTAACATAAAACATTCTAAGATGTTCTTTTTTACTAGTTAAAAATATTTTAAAAATTTGATTTTCTTCTTAAGTGCAATAACTTCAGCATGGGAAGAGATCTATATCCTAGTGTCCACATGAGGGCAATATATTTTAACTTGTTTTACCATGTCTTTTTCTATGTTTTGAGACCTGTATAGAGTGACACAATATTATAAGGAAAACATGTTAATTTCATATAATGTTTTCATAAAGAAAACATTATAATTTCACTTTCTTCCTGAAATTATAAGTTAAAGCTGCTCCAATGGGAGTGAATTTTAGAGGTTGGGATTTAAAACGACTTTTGGTTTCAGTTTTACCTTTGTAATATGGGAATATAATTCTTGACTGATATCTCCAATCTTCATGAGAAAAATGTGAAAATGCTTTTTTAAATTTTATAAAATTTATTATGAAAAACTTACAAATAAATAAAAATGCTTAAAACACATTTGAATTGCCATGTAGTCACTAGACCTATATACAGGATACAGAGGCATTTCAATACATGTATACATTACACAATGATTAGATCCTAGGAAATGACGTATTTACCACTCCAGACATTCAATAGTTCTTTGTTTGGAGGACAGTTAAAATCTTCTCTGCTAAGTATGTTTAAATGTTCATTAATTGTTATCAACCAGTCAGTAGAGCATGAGACTCTTAATCTGGGTCATGAGTTCATGCCCCACATTGAGCACCAGGTAATGCGAGAAATCCACAGAGTCTGCTTAAAGGGCGAATGGATTTATTAAGAAAGGAAAACCCGCAAGACAGAACAGAGGAATTGTCGCAGGGTCCTAGAAAGGTGAGGCACAGTCCCAAGCTATTCTTCCGCCTGAGACTGTTCTAGCATCCAAGTCCTATGAGGGAGTGAAGAGAGCGGCCTATGTGCATCCCAGGTCTTAAAGGTAGCCCTGAGCAGGTAGGTGGGACAGTTACCTGCTACGTCTCTAGAGGTGATGCTTCAAGGTCATAGCTAGAACAGGTATCTACTACAAAGCATAGTTCATGATAACTGTAGAACATGAAAAGGGATCCTTCTTACTCATACTTACCTGGTAGTCCATTGTCCATCCTCTCCCCATTCTTCCCTCCTAGATACCCTCCTGTATAGATGCAGATTAAAACTATCCTATTCCCTACTTCTTTAAGTTTCATGTTTTAGTTTCCACATACAAGTGAGAACATACAGTACTTGTTAGCTTGTGCCCGACTTATTCTTACTAGGCACAATGCCTTCCTGTTCTATGTTATTTCAAATGACAGAATTCTGTTGTTTTATTGCTACATAATGTTCCACTGGGCTTACGTACCACTTCTTCCTGTCTATTTGTAAATTACTGATGGGAATTGTGCTGGCTAGATTTTTGTTTACTTGACACAAGCTAGGGTCATCTGGGAGGGGGAAACTCAACCTATAGGCAAGTCTGTGGGTCATTTTCTTTCTTTACGACTGATATGAGAGGGCCCAGCCTGCTCTTTGGGGTGGTACTCCTCGGCAAGTGGTCTTGGAGTATACTAAAAAACAAAGAAAACAAATTGTGCGTCAGGTGAAGCCAGCCAATAAGCAGTACTCCCTCATGGCCTCTGCTGCAGTTACTGCCTCCAAGTTACTGACTGCATTGAGTTTCTGTCCTGACTTCTCCAGTGATGGATTGTGAGCTGGTGTTGTGAACCAAAATAACCCTCCCTGCCACACACACACACACACACACACACACACACACACACACACACACACACACACACACACACATTACTATTGATCATGGAGTTTAAAAATAGCAATAGAAGCCTAATTAATACAAAAAATTGATACCATGTAGCTAGAGTTTTCCTGCCTTGCTCACAGTCAGGACAAATCTTTGTCACCCGCCAGTCCCACAGCCACTCAGACCCAACCAAGTAAACATAGAGACTTATATTGCATACAAACTGTATGGCTGTGGCAGGCTTCTTGCTATCTGTTCTTATATCTTAAATTAATCCATTTCCATAAATCTATACCTTGCCACGTAGCTGGTGGCTTATTAGTGTCTTCACATGCTTCTTGTCATGGTGGCGGCTGGCAGTGTCTCTCTGCCTCAGCCTTCTGCTTCCCAGAATTCTCCTCTCTCCTTGTCCCACCTACTTCCTGCCTGGCCACTGGCCAATCAGTGTTTTATTTATTGACCAATCAGAGTAATTTGACATACAGACCATCCCACAGCAATACCAGGTTCATAGGAGTATTTCTGTGATAGATTTGAGATTGGTTTGGGCCAATTGTATAAAGACTTTGAACTTTAAGCTAGCAAAGCCATTGAGTGTTCAGAGCATAATGAGCTACTATGAGGACTCACAAAATAATACTGAGATTAATACAGATGATAGTGGCATGGCTTGTGAAGTTTCAGAGTGAAGTTGATGGGGCCCTTTTATAGACTCTATTGGGGCCATTCAATGTTTTGGATTAAAAATCCGTGGTTCTAGTTAGCTGGGGCTGAAGGATTAACTGTGATTAAGAAGAGGCCAGGATCATTGAGGCAAAGTGTTTCCTCAGGGTCATTACACAGAAACTGTGGTCCAGAGGAGGCTAAGGTTATACCTGGTTCTGGCAGGTGAACTTGGTAATATGTAAGTCTCTTAGGTGGCAGTGGTTTTGAAGACATAAAGAGGTCATAAAGGCCAGCTGAGGTTTGGTACAATGAGAGGTCAGGAGAGGATGCTGGTGAAAGTGCAGCCTCATTGGCAGTAGAAGTCCCAGGATTAAAGGGTTTATGCAGGGAACTTTAGGCTTGGCATCATGTAGTAGGGCAAAGTCCCTGAAAAGAGCCCAGAAAAGGCTACTGATGTGGGTATAGACCAGTTGCAAAGGGGACCAAGCATGTTGTAGATGCCAATACCATGGGGTGTTACCAAGGACAGTAGCAGATATGGATTAAGCCAACCAGAGCCTACTGTGGGGACAGAGGTAAGCCCTCTGGAGACCGGAGGATCATGGGTGAGTGCCACAAGTCTGGCACTGAGCTTTGTTCTGTAGGACTTTCATTTTGCTCTGATTTGACAGTGACTGTACTCTGATCATTCGCTCTTAGAATAAGAAAGTCTTTTACTTATTTTGATTGGATAGGAACACACAAATATGAGACCTTTGATATTTTAGAAAAACTTTACCATTTTAGAGTGACACTGTATATTTTAAAGAGACTGAACTTTAAGTGTTTTAAGCTTTAAAGACTGTGGGACTTTAAAAATGTTTAAATGCTTTATATTGCGATATTAATATTCATATTCCATGTTGGGGACAAACAAGAAAGGAAAATTTGTTGTCGAGTGTGTCAAGTTGACAAGGAGTCAACTTTCCTGGCTAGTGTTTTGGCAATTTGACATAAGCTAGAGTCATTTGGGAAGAGGAACCTCAACTGAAAACGTTCTCTAGCAAAATAGGCCTGTGAGCAAGCCAGCTGGTTGTATTTTTGATTAACGATTGGTGTGGAAGAGCCCAGCCCATTGTAGGTGGTGCCAACCTTGGTCCTGGATAATTTAAGAAAGTGGGCTGTGCAAGTCATGAGAAGGAAGCCAGTAAGCAGCACTCCTCTATTGCCTCTGTTTCATTCCTGCCTCCAGGTTCCAGCCTTGACCTCCTGCCCTGCCTTCCCTCAGTGACGGAGGTGTAACCAGAGAGTTGTAAGCCAAAGTAAACCTTTTCCTCTCAGGTTGCTTTTGGACACAGTATTTACCACAGTTATAGAAACCATACCTAAACAGCATCTTGGTGATTTTGAGCAGTTATACAATGCATGTGAGGTGTGATATCACTCTGACAACTGACTTTGATTACCCAGCAGGGGATAGCTGGATCATATCATGGCTCTATTTCTAATCTTTCTTTCTGAGAGACCCCCTGACCATTTTCCATAATAGCAATGGTAATTAACAGATAAGTTTTGTTCACACTATTGTTCCTTCTGTTATAATATATTCTATCTATTACCCAGAATATGATACATAATAGATAGTCAATAAGTAATTGTTCTATGACTAAAATAAATGAACTATTTAATAAAGGACAACCCTGTGGATCTGCCTGCACTACTGGTAGAAGTAATAACTTCCTAATGAGCTCAAGATCAAATGGTTTTTGTAGCTTCAACCCTAGTCTAGAATGTACCTACTACAGCAGTACTACTTGTTAAAGTGTTTGAGGCTTAAGTAACATTAGTCACTGCATTAGACCCACAAAGTTCTCTGAATGTCTACATTTCCCTTCCTTGAACTTTCTTCTCTCATTCCAACTAAAGATGTTTATCCCAGTAAAGAACTTCTAGACACTGCTCCAATTCCACGGTTTCACTGTGTCCTGACTGTGATCACTCACAGACTAGTCTAAATGAGCAAATATTACCTGTTCTCCTACACATTAAAGGATACTTCCAAAGTGCTTTTGGGACATTTGTTATATATTTGCAAAGTGCTGAGGATTTTGCAAATCAACAGCAGTTTCTGCCTTCCAGAGGCTCATAGTCAAGCTGAAGCAAAGAAAATATTCTGTTAGATAACAAACTTGACAATCAAGAGAAGATATACAAAGTCAGAATATAGTTGAGTGGAGAGTATTTCCGTTGTAAGAATAAGGCTCTGGCTTGGTTGCAAAACATGAAAAAAACAAAGAATCAAGAGAAAAGATCCATCAGATCAAGCCTACCCAATAAAGACAGTGACTGATATAGGGATCCAGAAAAGAAAGAGATGAGAGGACAGATGGATACACAAACATGAGGAGGATCTCTGTATCCTGGGATACGGAAAGAAGAAGCTTTACCTGAGAGAGAAGGATGGAGAAAAATCATATACTCCAACAGAATGCTTTGGCAGAACAATGAAACAAGAGCTGATGGATATCCCATAGGTTCTTTTACTCCCATTTAGAAAGCATAGACAAGGGCCCAGGATCACCGAGTCAATACGTTGGCAGTTAGGATTCAAACTCAAGTATTCCTTGTTCAAAGGAAGAAAATTCATCAATTATTTTCCCTGCTCCCAACAGGATGACTTGGTCTTACTGATGCTTACAAAAGCAAATGAAACACACAAACTTTGTGAAACTAGAAATAATTTTGTCATAAACTGTTTTTAAAGACTATGATAACTTGTCTTATGAAGTTCTGTTTCATTTTATTGAAAATAAGAAGATTGATGGCACACTAAACATTATCAAATCTAGAACATAATTGGACATAGTTTCAGAAAGTATCAGTCCTATAAAGTAACAACAGGGAAATCAATTTGAAAGTATCATAACTGTACAAATGTCAAACAACAAAGGTATGGAGTAGGAAAGAGGATGAGAATCATTCAAAGGAATGGAAAGGAGAAAAGCGGTATTTTAGACTAGTTCTAACTGCCTACAGGTATGGTACTTCTTAATAAATAAGAAAACATAAGTAGCAAACTTTAGATAAAACGTGTCCATACTGAGTGTGAGATGCTACAAGACCTGTCTTAGGAAACTGTGTTGAACACAGACCTGGAAGTAGAGCATACAAACTGTCACTACCCAATGCTGACATTGTTGCCTTGTCTGGCACTCCCAACAACCCTGCATGCAACACGTGTAGTAGCCTACTGACTGTTGCACAACGCACATCTTACATCCTGGAGCAGAGATCCTATCTCACCTTCCGTTCAGAATGTCTTTTCCCTTCTTGTCTTCATGGACCATTCCCTAGAGTTTCAAAGTACAGTGTAATCATCCTTCCTGATGACATCTGGCACTCTCCTGGTATCATTACCCTTTCCTGCACTTGACTTCTTCATTTGTAATAATTCCTTGGTTAGTATCAACCTGCAAATAATACGTTGAGGGAGCCTCTGTTTTGCTCACTATTGAAGACACAGCACACAGTGAAGGATTACATGCATATACCAATGTCTACTCACAGGTATATTTGAAAAATGAATGATTGGCTTCTATGTAATATCACATTGAACCCTAATAACTGCTTAAGCCTTTCTTTTGCCAAGAGAAATGAGTGACTTTGGAGGAGGGAATCCTATTAAGTATTTCATGAAGGATATAAGCACAAACTTCCAACAGCCTGTGTGCAACAAGAAACTAGGATGAGGTTGCAAAGAGAGATTTCTGGGGCACATGACTCAGAGGTTCTTTCCAAAGGCTAGAGGTGGAGCCCAGGAATCTGAATTTCAGCAAACCCTCCCAGTGACTGTGTTTCTGGTTACCCTATAGCACTGAGCTTCATGAAATCAAGGTGAAATGATTTTCAGCTTATATTTTGTTGATCTTATTCTCACTCTTTCTTTTTTAATGCTAGCGCTCACTGACCAGGATACAGAAAATTTTTTGACTCAAGGTAAGTTTTTTAATTCTTTTGTAAGTACTTATCAAATTATAAGAATTTTAAATCCACGTCCTTTGAGCTCTTTGCCCAAAGCCTTATCTGTGAAGTTGGTGACTTTATTCTGAGTTCACTCTGCAGGGTTCTTGTAGAAATCAGGCTCTGCTCTTCACACTAATGTTTAAGTAATTTCTCCTCCTAGAGAAAAAAGAATGAAACCGCAGTGGAGTATAATCCACTTGACACTCAACACCGAGCTCCGGGCACTTTTTTTTTTTTTTTTTTTTTTTTAGCAGTTCTGGGAAGCTTTAATCCCATGGTTCTAAAGCAGTGTTTCTGTAGACTTGTAAATTATGTTTGATGACAACATTCATGTAGCTTTTTTGAACCAGAGTGGCTTGCTTTGTTGTGGATTTGGATTAATCATAAGGTAATAAATTATAAAAAGTATTATCAATTTGAAGCCTATAACTTGAAGGGAAAATCGTGTTCCAATATCACTCCATATATACTTTCAGGCTAAGAGGACAGGAATAGGCTTATTAGAAACATGAAATTTGCTTCTCAGATCAGCCAAATATAGTTAGAAATCAGTTCCATATACTTAGGTTTCTGATTTATTTTAGATACATAGGAGATTTTAAAAGGTAATGGTACTTCAAGATATTTTCAGTTCGATTCTATGTTTAATTTATAATTATTTTTGAGTGAAACTGTAATAAATAAGTCACTAAGGAATTTATTTGGAGAAGGCAGAAAAGAAACTCATATCCATGTATATTCTTAATTAATGTCTAATCCTCTTTTATTGGGAAATTTGTAAGAAAACAAATGTTTAGGACTAGCAACCTATTACAAAGCCAGCAATAAAAATTATTATTAGTGATATACCTCTATTATTACTAAAAAATATTAGACTAAATACAAGAAGAAATATTATAAGGTTTTGGGTTGAGAAGAGCTGAGTAAATTAACCCACCCTGGTCCATTTCACCTCTGTAACTGAAATGTTTGTAGGATTCTTAAGGTATTTAAATAAAGTTATATTCTATTTTTAAATTTTATTTTTAGTGTGTGTCTGTACATACACATATTATATGGCATGACTATAAAGGAGAGTCAGTCCTCTCTTCCATTGTATGGGTCTCAGGAACTGAACTTACGTTGTCTGGCTTAGAGGTCGGCTCCTTTACCAACTGAGCCACCTCACCAGGCCTACACCTGTATTCGAGAAATTAGAACCTTCTATCACAGTTGGTTCCTTCCGAAGGTATGCTTACTTATACACAGCCAGGAAAGGGAGACCAAAACATCCATGATGAGCTACAATGCCACTTAGGAGGCTTCTAGATGCAACAGTTTGACTCCAACTTCACTCTATACATGCATCTCTCCTCAAAACAATAGTTTCTGACTTGTTCCATTGTGTGGGACTACAAGTCAGTATTTCCAACAGGTTTCCAGGAGTAATCATTGTATAGGACCGTAGGTCATATTTTGAGTAGTTAGTGTATTGAGAAAAAGGAAACCTTACAGGAGTTTGGGCCTCATGGTGGGATATCCAGCACTGACCTGTGTTAGCCCACACTTATGAAGTATCCCAAACCATAATGAAGCTACTCAAGAATTTGATGGCCTTATCAAATTAACTACAGAACTGTGCTCTGTAATGCAGTCTATATAACATATTAAACCAGACATACAAGAACATGTCTATAATCACAGCAGTTGGGATTGGGATTCAGATGATCAGAAGTTTGAGGTCTTTCTTAGCTTTAGAGAGAGTTTGAAGCTAGCCTGGGCTATATGAGGCCCTGCCTCAAAGAAAAATAATAGGTCATGCTTTTGGAATATCCAATATGTGTTAGGAAAAATTCATAAATGATGGAGAATCCTTACAGTAATTTTCTAAATGGAAACAACCATCCCTTGGGCAGCATGTTAATGTGTTTTTCTTGTTAGAATGTGGAGCCCGTCCAGACCTTATAACACTGTCAGAAGAGAGAATCATTGGAGGCACTCTAGCCGAGACAGGTGACTGGCCCTGGCAAGTCAGTCTACAGCTCAATAATGTCCACCACTGTGGAGGTATCCTGATCAGTAACTCGTGGGTCCTGACAGCAGCTCACTGCTTCAGAAGGTGAGTCCACAGCTACTCTTCCATCTGAGAATGATTAGGAAAGACAGCTATATGAAGGCTCCACCCACTACCCCTAAGACTAAACATGATCTGATTGACACCTAAATAACTCAATGGAAATTATTTCTGAGTCTTTTCTTTTTTATCCATGGAAGCATAACTGTCTTTTCCCCTTTAGCTTAATGGTTTGCTGATAGTTCCCTTATTCAAACGACAGTACTCCATCATATCAAAGAAAAAAAAAAGGATCACACACTAGAGTGCTTAATTTAAATCCTTGTTATAAAAGTGTATAAAATTTACATCACTTCTTTCTGTTTTCAAACTAGGGACAACACTACTATCTAAGTTAACTTGTAGGACTGGTTACAGCATTGTTTTTAAAAAAAAGTCAAGTTGTTGTGGTCCAGGCTGGAGAAGTGCTCCATTGGTTAAAAGCACTTGTCCCTCTTTCAGAGAATCCAGGTTTAGTTTTCAGCACCCACGTGGTGGTTCTAGTTTCACAGCATGCAACACCCTTTTCTGACTCCTGCAGGCAGCAGACATGCATGTGCTGCACATACGAATGTTGAGGGAAAACATTCATACTCATCAAATTAAATTAATAAGATAATTTTTAATTTTTGTTATAAAGGATTTTCATATTATATCACAGAAGCTAATTAGTAGACTGATGGTTGGCCTAGGGACTTCAAAATCCCACTAATTGAATTTTCCAAAATTGATTTAATGCCTATATGGAACACAACATTATGCATCACAGAAGCACCAAGTACAAACAGAGCAGTACCACAACTTCTGAGTGGTTATATTAGGCCGTTGACAAGAGACATTTGGAGTGACTGCAGGCTATGACTTACATTAGCCTAAGTAACTGCTGGAGAGTAACTGTGCAAACTTACTCTGTTGGTACAAGGTGAAGCTCACTCTGCTCTTAATAAAAGGACTTTTTGTGTGTTCAACATGATGAAATCTTCTAGTTTCAGGCATATGTTGGTCCTGGACATGCAAGGCTTTAAAAATTTAGGGTAACTAAATTCAAAAAAATAACCCAGAGAAGTAAATCCAGGTGTGCCCCTAACCATATCTCTTATTTTCTCAGTCTTTTCCAATTAGTAAAATACAGCATCCTTATCACATATACAAATGCATTCACAGTCAACTCAATCCAAACCTGTTTTCGAAAGTATGCATCCTAAGCCTCAGGCTTGCAGCATTTTTCTCATCTGGCTCTTTTTACATCTCCCCATTTATGAACCTCTATCTCAAGTTGCTGTTTTTTTCCTAAAATGTCTTCCTTTCCAAATCCCCATTTGCTCATCTTGGAATTCTTTGGGATAGTCACAATTCCAAAGACACGCTCTTGAGATCTGAGAGCCCTGTCTCTTATGACAGTGTTTTTTATAGGACTGTTTAATAAATGAAGTGTATATAAACAGGAACACAACTAGCATGCAGTTTCTGAACAAAGGTTCTAGGAAACCTCACTTTTTTCTAAATTTTTCTGCTGCTGTTTTATAGCTCAATGTAGGTGAATAAATTTAAAGTTTATTTGAGACATCCCTTTAAAAATCAATTATGTGATTCTAGTTTAAGCAGGCATACTTACTGCAGCATTTCTGGTAACACAGAGAACAAAATTCATAAAACCATTGCAATCATCAGTGTCACCTGAAATGCCCAACAGTGTGACTGACATCACTGGTTTTTCAGTCACACCCTTAGTGTGGAAACCAAAAGTGTAACGGCTGGACTTGGCAGATGTTTGGTGTAATTGAGGATGCACTAGAAACAGAATTAGATTTGTTTTTTGTTAGAAACAAGGTATCAAAAGCCCAAGGACAAGATGTCACTATCTTGAAAGGTATAACCACAAGTATCAATAATGAATGCCAAAGCATTGCAGGAAACATCTTTTAATTTTCACCACAAACCTACTCATCACCTGGTGGATCCACCACAGCTGAAAAACTATATGGACCATGTCCTGGTATCCTCTCTAGTGATCCGATTATCACTGAGAACGATGAGCAGAGCCTTGTTGAGGGATAGCCACCCTTACATCCAGGTACATGGATGTGATAAGGCTACTGGAGATTATTCTGTTGTCATCTCCTCATGGTATTGTCTTACTTTGCATGGCAATTTCTTACTTTTCTCAATAATCTTTGCTGTTTTCTGACAGTATACGTGTCTCTTCAACTAGTGTATTGAATTCCTAAAGGATAGAAATCATACATTCTTTAGTATTTTATTCCCAGAGACCTTCCTCATACAAACTAGGCAGCCATGGCTTGTTGAGCTATGAATGGAAAGAATTATAACTATTCAGTGATGGTTTACTTTGTCCCAAACACCATGCTTGGTATGATTGTCTTATTTCATTAGCACTTCATAGTCAATCACATTTTATACATAACCTGGGGAATGAGGTACTAAATTGGCATAATTATAATGATGCTAATTTGTTGCAGAGATTAGATTTACATGTAAATGCTCATATTCATATTAGTTTGTCTTTACAATTTATAACGGGTTCATTCATGTGTAATCATGAACTTTTTTTAATATTTTATTTTATTTTACAATACTATTCAGTTCTACATAACAGCCACAGATTTCCTTGTTCTCCCCCTTCCTGCCCCCCTCCCCTTCCCCCCAGCCC